GCCGGCTATTTAAGCTGTATCAAGCCCATCTGTAAAATGACTGCAGGCTCCAATTAAGTATTAAGTATTGTGCGACTAATGTGCATTAAAAATAGAACAGCCCGAGCGGACATTGGCCTCATCACGCTGATTGAACACGGACTAGTTATGCCATAACTTATACGTATCACGGATTCGTCAGTTATTAAAACTATTTGTTTCTAGAACTAGATACAAAAGAAACAAAATATTTTATGGTATACGGAGCCTAAAGTGTAGACGGGCCACATATGATAAATGATTACCGCTTCCCATTATATTATATAACGTCAAACAGCCTTTTATAGTCCACTGGTTGACATAAGCCGCCCCTTAGAAAGGAGGTTTTGGCCTACTATACCAATTACTAGTTTCTTCTTCTTCTACTAGATTAGTTAGGGTACGTGTCAAATTTTTCTTCTCCTTGCAGTGCTGTTGCAGAGCGTACCAAAGAAATATACATAAAAACATACATTCACTTAAAAAACATGACACTCCTGTCACAGTAGGGTAAAAAGGTCAAACACACTATTAAAGCTATTAATTTTATTTATTTACCTGCATTAAAATCGATGTTTTAGTGAACAAGTATACAAGAAACAATTAAAGGTTAACGTAACAAAACGTTAACCTTTAATATGCTATTACTGCACCCACAGGAAGTTGTTAAAAGTGCCAGAAGTGTCCAAAATTAAGATGTTTATTGCTATTGCATCTGGATAAAGGGATACAGCTGTGTACTGTGTACATTTAGCTCAGAACCCTCTCTAATAACAGAGTTTTGCAACAGCCAGTTTCCTAAGTTGGAACGATTATAGTTTTACGATATGGCTTAGAAGTTTATTGGCACTGTTGCAGCATACACCAACTGTTTTGCTTATAACTAAACCCAATCTACTATTAAACACCACTGTTATTATAAAAAAACTGTGATGCAGTTTTGGGTCAAGGTATGATCATAGAATCATAGAAGTAATAGCTACGTGAATGTGTAAATGCAAAAATTCCTCAAAAACAGGACTATTTCTTTTACGTTAACGTTATTTACAAAACACAACAGTATTCTTCTTACTTTTGACCTGTGTAAAATATGCAAAAATATAGTTTGTTAAAATTCTGGGAATGGATGGAATAAGTATTTAACAGCAGAAGTTTAAAATTAATTTAAGTCGGTGATCACTTACAAAATACGTATTACCTAACCCTTTTATTTTTCAACAGTACGCCTTTTGCTTCAAAAGTAATCCCATTTTATTGCTAATATTTAAAAGAAACTAACAACATCTGACATTTAGCCATTAGCCACTATGTCATCATTAGTCAAATCAAATATAGCGCGTTTCTTCAACTTTTTGTTACATAGTTCCGTCCTCTTTTACTACATTACTTCCAAAGATTGCAAGAAAGCGATAGCCATGATGAACACTGGCGATAATTCGGCTTTAATTGAGAACCTTTAATAATTTTATAAATCTGCAACCTCCTCTTTGTTCATTCAAAACAGTTTTCTTACTGAGATAAAAGCTCACGTAAATCCGATGCTTCTAAATCAGCTGTCATCTGTGCCTCGTTCGCATTTCCCACGCCGAGAAAGCATTGAACACGGCCCTATAGCGGCGACGTTTAGTTATTTGTTCCTAGAATGGGAGGGTATGCTTTAGGAAAGTTACAATGTACTTTTAAATTAATTTTATCAATTTTAAACTACATACCCTGCTAGTGTTACTAGCATACATAGACCTATTTACTACTGGTGATAAGCAGCAACCTTGGAACAACCCTACTCTGTATTCGAGGGGTTTTGTGTGTCCCTCTATTGCTGTGATTAAGAGCACTTTTTTAATGTGTAAATTGGGATTTAATCGCAATTACAAAGTACAATTAATTTTTTTTTGCCCGTTATGATGTTTCATAGTCTATATTATTTCTCAATAAATACCCAACACAATACGAATTCGACTTATATTTCTTAAGTGTGTTTATAAAACAAAAATCTTCAAGTTTTCAACTATAGTTCAGCTTGATACATCAGCTTCTTTGATTCAACATTGTTATTGGTTACCATGTACGTATATGTTGGTCAGCTAATATTATTGTGCATTTGCGACGTAAATAGAACGCTATAATTATATCCATATGTTACCACCGGGCTGCCAGGAGTTTCCTGTTAGCTTGCATACTTTAACCGTAACATCTGTAGAGGTATGTTACAGAAATGGGTTCATATTTTAGGCCCGCTATGTATAATGACTATCTATCTTCTATAAAAGAAGAAACTAGCAGATAGAGTCACTGACTGATTGATCAACGCATAGCTAAAACCGCTGGGTCTAGAAGCATGAAATTTTGCACAAATGTCCCTTAAGTAACGTAGGTGTGCTCTAAGAAAGGTTTTTTTTTTAATTATACCCGTAAGGGTGCAATATGTTGGTTGGCAAATTATATTAAACTTTGTTATTTTTGGTAGTAGAGTTTTCAAACTCACAATAAATACACTTTATTAAAAGTAATGAAAACCGTTGTTACCAAATTTTGACATTATTCGTTAAAGTTTATTCGTAGCGTTATTCAACCATAATGTGCCACAGCGCAGCGTAGCAGAGTACAGCTAGTATGGAATATCTAGAACAATTCTCACAATTAAAAACGTAGCTTTCCTCACAATATTACCCATGTTTGTTTTAGTGTATAGGGGGCAAACGAGCATACTGGTAACCTGATGGAATGTGACCCAGAATTAAGGGGTGGACCTCCGTTAACCATATTTGCTCGGTGATAAGGATCAAGCGACCAAAATATTTTCTAATGCCCATATTTGTGTAGTTTCAACAATAGTTATAAAACATAAACTTAGCAAATTCACGTAGCAAAATTTGCACTGTATTTTAAAAGTACCTATCTATACAAAATGAATAGTCTCAGCTATACACACATATGTGTATTCGTCAAGTATTGTAAGGCATGTTTCTGTCACCTAAATACCCACATATTGGCAACTGACATCCTTTCTTGTTTAGCGTGCCGAAATGCGACATTGTCATTCAAATATTCCGTGAAATTGCAACAAGCGTTCGGCCGCTTTTTATAACACTTGGTCATTTATTTTACATTAACTTACTAAGATCTCACAGAAAAACTACTAGAAGCTATATCATCAGTGAGACAATAAGGCGAGAATGTGGCCATACTATGATCCATTCTAGTCTAAGAAAATAGTAATTTCCAGAAATTATCGTTTCCCTACTAAAGCTTAGCGACATCAGTTAATACTTTGCTTTTAACTTGCCTATAGTGTAGCAGGGCTAGAATTCGAGTCACGGGACGTCTTATGTGAGTTTTTGGTATATTTAAGTGTGTCTAACCCCGAGGGCCGAGACTCTGGTCTTGACGGGTGAAGGATACAGTTTATTACAAGTTACCATGGTTTACATGAATGCCTAAACCATTTTTTAAACATACGAATTTCATAAGAAAATCATCTTCGTATTTTTTGTAAACTTGTGTATGTGTAATATCTACATATATCGGCTATTTACATGGAAGCGTCAAAAAACTTTATTTTACTTATTTTTCTGAGACAAAAGGAATTGAAGCATGAATTAGAATTACTTCTACGAAGAATATATCTAACCAACTTGGTATATTACTAAAGATTGAATTCGGGGATTAGGATTATCGCCCTAGTGGTTGGTAATAGTCACATGTGCAGTGATCAGGTGAATGTTGCCCAATGTGAGTGTACTCTAATCTGCGAAAAATAGTAAAGATCAAATTTCTTTAGTGTCAACTGAGACTTTGCTAGAATGTGTACATAATGGCGGTTCAAGTTATACTTTCTAAGGAGAGGCCTTTGTCCAGAAGTGGACTATTAAAGGCTGTTGATGAGAGTTTAAATTCGAACACCGTCACTTTAAGGATCTGTAGCACTTAAACCTATTCTGTCATTTAACACAAATACAGTGTAATTCAGAAAATTATCTATAGGTATAAAATGTTTAATTAGCTATTACACAGGAAATCGCGTGTTTACAAGTTTAAATCCTGTATAAACAGTCCACTAGATTTATATATTTCCTTAATATAATTAACAAATCGTGTGAAACAATAGCTATAAGTTCACTCTTCGCAACAATTTCAGTTTCAACAATTTTAAATTAATAACGCAATCTCGTGAGATCCAAATGACAGTTTAATGCTGAGGAAGAATGTACAAACCTATGACAGTTGTAACACGGCTGTGAATAAAGACGATGGGTATACTACCTCAGGCCGGTTACTTTTACAGCCGGCTGCCTGCTAGATGCTGGGTTTCCTCTCCTGTTTTCAAACGAGACATACGTAAATCCGTATAAGGAAAATGAATAGAACGAGGGAACTATAGTAGGGGATACCGTAAGCCACGGGTAGGGGGGGATACTGACCCTGCAGAAGCCTGGGTCACGAATGCGTGTGTCCTTGCTGTGATTGAAGAAGCCTCCAGAATAGGGACTGTACTATATTTATGTCGACTATATTTAGACGATCGGATGGCATAGTGGTTTGTGTAACGGACTGCAATTCCAAAGGTCGCGGGTTCGATTCCCGCTCAAGTCAAACATTTGTGTGCTTGAACATTTAATGTTTGATTTGGCCTGGGTGTTTCTATGTGTAATATGTATGTATTTACAAAAAAAATAATATATATGTATTCATATCAGTTGTCTAGTAGCCATAGTACAAGCTCTGCTTAGTTTGGGACTAGATGGCGTTGTGTGAATGTGGTAGAATATTATTATATTATTATTATTATTATATGTACTCGTAGTATTATTATAACCTATGAATATGATTCAATGTGCCTCAAATTACCTCTAAATTTTAATTGTGTTGTAAGTCATTACATAGTGGTTATTGATAACAAATAATTATGTAGATTGTTTTATTGGTTCCAGATGGCGTAGAACAACAGATAGAGACATCCATCACAAATGTTAATAAACCTAATGGAAGGCGATACGATAACTACGAACACTTTTATATCATCGATAAAAAACTTCAATAGCGACGGTAAACAACACGGTATAAAAGCTCTTTTGAAAAACTTCATACTACCAGAACCGGAAATGGCTATAAAAGAGAACAAAAATGATGACAACAAATATATTTACACTATACCTGCTAAACCACCTCTGCCAACGATGATGGAACGAATGAAGTCTATACAAGACGCTAAACAGGCTTTTCTAAATTCAACTGTAAGTCCTGACGTTGAACCACCTAGTCATAAATCGAAAATAGACAACCATTCAATACATTATGCTCAACTCACCATAATAAAAGATAGTGAAGACACCAGGAGCACTGGTGGAGGGACACATACCACCTCCGTGCCGTCTTTAGATACAAAACATAAAGACCATAATAACACTATTGATACATCTCCAAATATTAGAAAAAAATATGATCAGTATAACAGAAAAGTTAGCTTTAAAATTAAAAATGCATCAACTTCTCATAAACGACCTCCTCTAGCCAAAACAGTGACGATACCCAGCAGTAAAGTTGCCGAGCTAACAAAAAAATTCAATAATTTACAAACAGACACTCACGACGAATCACCCAAACAATCAAAACTTGTGAAAACATTAGACGATTTACAGTCAGCTTCTCGATGCTCTCCTAGTAATAGTTCAACTCCCTCATCTACCCTAAGTTCCAGCCCAAATATAAAAATAGTACTAAGACACCGACGGGGTTCAAAAAAACGTAGCAATAAAGAACGATGTTCTAGCATGGATTCAATAGATAATCTACTAATTGCTGACCGTTCAAATAAAATTCGTGTAATCCGTTCTAAATCAGATGGAACTAAAATACCAAAAGCAACAAAGAAACGATTAAAATATCAAGATTTAAGTGAAGAACCGAGTGGATCAGATACTGTTGATGGCAGTCCAGTGAAGGTAAAAGATCCTGAATCCAATAAAGATAAGAAAACAACAGAAAGCATCGTAGTTAAAAATGTCATTAAAAAGTTTGAATGTGAAATTATCGCACAGTCTACATCAAATAACACACTTAAAAAACAACCAGATAAATCCAAAAGTACAATGCCTATGAAAGAAAAACCAAAAGTACCTGAAAAGAAATCGTCATTAGTATTAACTAAAAATCTTGTTGTAAAAGACGGCATTCCTAAAATTAAAACAATAAAACCAGTTTCTGATGAATCTGTGAAAGTTGTAAGTCCAAAAGATCCAAGTACGGAACCAATAAAAAAGAAAGACCTCATATATGACAAGAAAAAATATAGAACAAATTACATTCATTCTGAAAAGTTACCTTTAAAAGTAGTTGAAATCATTCCTGAAGATATCCAGGAGACTAATGAACCTGTTGGTGATACGCAAATAACGCCAGACATAAGCATTAATACCTCTTCAAATTCCCAAGAAGAAGTTAAAGACTATCAAAACATCAGTTCACCAATAACCCCAAATGAATCATTTTTGTGGCGTAGAAAAAGTAGTTCTCAAATTTATTCAGACTCTGAGAAATCTACATCTGACAGTGTATATAATTTTGTCAATGTAACTATGAATGGTAGTATAATCAACTGTTCTGATGAACCATCCTTAATCTCAGTAAAAGAGGAATCTCCTCAAACGTATGAATCTCAAGTTACAATTTCAATCGGTAACCATAATACTGAGGAAAATATGGACTTTGAAACTAATCTGGTTGAAGCTTGCAACAAAGAAATTATTGTCGGTTACACGTCTAAACCAGCGAAAGAAGAGGATGAAGATTATTATGAACCATTAGAACCTAAAGATGAAGAAAATGTAGTTGTGATACCTGTCAAAGGTCCAGAGGTGGATACGTCTACACTGAGGTTACCTAAGAAGAATTGTCCGTTACCAGAAATCCCTAAAGATAGCATTGAGGATAAAAAAGAACTTGAAGATAAAGACAATATATATCAATGCTTACTGGAAATGAGATCACATCCTGAAGGAGATGAAAGCAGTCTTCACAACTACGAATTGTGTGAAAATAGTATGGAGGAGAGAACTCGCGGGGACGGTGACAGCGATGATGGCTATGAATATTGCAAGTCTCCTATCAAACCTTACTGCCACACTTCTAGCTCCGGCATACAAATCGCAGAGGATTACCGTCCATACTGTAAAAATAATAATAATAAAAATTACGCTATATCTAAATCAGTAAGTGGCACATCTACTGTTAGCTATGAAAAAATTGGTTCAGAAAGAATATACGAAAAAATACCAGCACACCAGTCTAAATCCAAAGATAGCAGCCCAACCTACAGCGGTAGACATTCTTTCACATCGGATTACACCGGTTATAATGACAATGAAAATATTTATGACACAATCAAACATGTAGATGGTGCTTCATTATCGCATTGCTACGAAAGTATCCCAAACAGTCCAAGTATGGTGAAAATGAGGAACAATTTAAAGAAACAAGTCCTATCAAATGTCCAAAAGCGTCTTTCGTTCGATACAATGTCCAACATTAGCCAATCCACGATGTCTAGCGAGCAGATGACAAACAGTTTGTACGGGCAGAGGTCGGTGATTAGCTACAATGGACAAGAGATCGCCTTCCAGGTACCGAGTAGTGAAACAAGTGTAAGTGACAGAAGCGATCGAAGTGATGATTGGGTTGATGTATCCGATGAGGAAAAGAATGAACACAAAATTATCATGTAAGTATGAATATAATAAAGCATTTAGTAAGTTAAGGGCAATTTCATCAATTACAGCCTTTAATAATCCACTGCTGGACATAGGCAAATTCATACGTGTAGGCAACTAAAATCTCAAAGATTATACTTATTGCATTAATTGTTATTATATTCCAAAGCTATACCTATGTAAAGCATGCCCAAAACCTTCTTTAATTTTACTCATTTAATTATATTAACATTTATTAATTTTAATCTGACATCTAGAGATAAAGGCGGTTTTTTAATCGTGAAAATGATCACAAATTGATTGACACTGTAGATAATTATTTGCTTTAACGTCATAAATATTTTAAATTATCTATTATCAGATTTTGACACATTTATTCCAAAGCATGTATGCTTTTAAGTGTTTTTTTCCAATAAAAATATTAACTTAATGTGATGTGAGAATGTAAATGCAGGTACTAAAAATAAAAAATTGACAACTTTCTACATTCCCGAAAGCGGGTAATAAGTAAATAAACAAGGTATTCCTAATCTCAAGCGCAAAAATCAACATGTCTGATAAAATATTCCAGATAAAGGATTATATCACATTTTACTATAATAGTTATTGAAAAAATGGCCGAAATATCGCTTTGACCCAATAAAGTATTTTGTTCGTGCCATAACAATTTCCATACAGAAATGTAAACATTGTTATCGGCACTTGATATAAAATTACTTTTGCTGGCGATTCAGTTACAAAAGGGCAATCGGAAAGCTAGCACCGTACTAAATGTTTATCACTTTAGGCTTTTGTCGGTGGAATTTGACAATGGAAATTATGAATTACAGTGTCCGAGAAAGAAGTCGTGGCAGAAAGAGTCCCGTTAGCTGGTCACAGAAAGTTCGCCACCAATGGCAAAAGTCACCAAGACCAAACAGCAACGATAAAGGTACGTTTAAATATTTTTTAAACACAACCAATGCATATACTGTGCAATAAGCAGTGAGAAATTGTGCACTATTACAACGTTTAAAACTTTTTGTTAACAACGCCATCTATCGCATAACTGCATCACTACGAGTTTTAATAGCTACTTATCGATCACAGTAGATGGCGCCCATGCAAATTGTGGTCGTATTACATATTTGATGAAATATATTTACTAACGTAAAGATACTTACTTATTTTTTAAGATTCTAAATCCTTGAATGTTTGTTTGTCGGTCAATATTTGCACAAGCGTTCGTTGTTTTGCACTAGTTGCGCAAACGCTAGCGACAGGCTTCCTACGCTCACATTCCGTTAACACTTTACAATGCCTGTACTCGTATGTCCAGGTGCGCCAGACTGGCTTTTTGAAATTTATACCTTTAAATAAAGAGCTTTTAAGTATTGATATTTAATAATAGTAAATTAATGTTGCTCGCCTTAACTCAATAAATTTTATAGATATTCTTTTAAATCTGTTTCACAGTTACGCTTAAACGCTTTGAAATATTTTTGTAAAGAAATCTTAATAAAAGCTGCTCTAAATATATGAACCGGTCCTTGCTAGATCAGGGCGCTTGAGACCGACTGTCGGGGTGGTTTTTTAGTGAAAAAACCACATACTCCTGGCTTTTGAAGAGTATACAAACCCACCTACCATTTTTATAATAGATAAATAATGTGTTTGTTTTGTTATACTTTCACGTCTTAATAGTTGAACCGTTTATCATGTGCATAACACGAGGCCTTCGTCGCTGTCACTGGCAAAAAGAAATCGTAGGGAAACTTTCGCCTTACAATACAAGGAATAGTTAGCTTGCAACGGCACAAGCATTTGTATTCTAGAAAAAAGATTACACTAGCGTTTACCCGCAGAACTGTAATGTCCAAATAAACAGCAACAAGTTAATTAGATATGCGCAGGCGCACGTGGGCGTTGCTAACTGTTACCGGATTCCTGAATATACGCCTTATACGATCACAATGCTTACAACCATACGATATAACAGCAAGTAGCGGTTTAATTACCTAGTTGTCTCAGTGAGTGATTCAATCTTGAAATTCGAGATTTATAGTATTTACAATTTTAAATATTTATTTTACGTCATCGAGAATCGAAACAAACTTGTGTCTGAAATTGAAACTTACTTAGGGGAGGTTTCAGATTGGGGCCGACTAAATCTAGTCCAGTTCAACCCAAAAAAGACACAGGTCTATGCGTTCACCGCAAAGAAGATACCATTTGTCGTATTACCTCGTTTTGAGATCCTTGACATCGACATATCAAGCGAAGTCTAGTTTCGGGGTCACTTAGAGGGTAAGGACAAATTGGCCTCTAAGAAGCTCGATGTGCTAAACAGATCGAGGCAATATTTCACTACGGTCCACCGTCTTCAGCTCTACAAGGCGCAAGTCCTCATCTCTATGCAGGGGCACCTAGACCTAGTACCAGCTTCTCCCTCTGGACCGCATCCAACGAAGAGCGACTCGAATCGTCGATAGCCCAAATATCTTCGATCGGCTCGATCCCTTGGCGTTACGGAGAAATGAGACTTCACTCTGCATTCTTGTACTAATAATATAAATTGACTAGATAAATTGTTCGGACTAATACCAGCCGCAACTTTCCGCCATCGTTCCACACGGCAAAATTTTCATCCTCATCACCTGGATTGTTGGCCGATACGACCTTCAAACCTTCAAGAAAAAAGCGTACTCCTTCCTAAAGGGCCAGCAAGGCTTTTATGACTCCTGAGTTGCAGACGTTCATGGGCGGCAATGGTCACTTTCCATCAGGTGACAAGACTGCTCGTCTGCCCCCCCCCCCCCCCCCTCCCCCTAACATAAAATAACCGGTACTAATTGTGTAGAGTTACGTTAGACCTCGGAGCCTATAAAGGCGTTAAGAAGGAGGTACATGTGTTAGGCAAAACGCTTTTAACAAGAATTCTTTATTTTTAAGTCCGTCCGGTTGTTTAGATTTTGATTGATGAGTTGATTTCAAAAATTTTCTTCATTTAAATGAAAGATGAAAAGTATTTGATGCACAGATTTGTCGCCAATTTTTGGAAATCACCTATCATCCTTCTTAACTTGTATTCAATCGTGATTTTCTCTTGTATGTAGGTACTTTTTAGATAGTTTAGAACTTCAGTTCAGATCCATGGTTTCCGTTGATCGGGCAATAGGTCATATAATATAATATAATGATCGGGGAGGCACAATAGGCTTTATGATCCTGATTTACTCGTTGAAAACCAACATACGAAATGCTTAACACCAGTTTTGTGGTCTAACCGGTCCATATGTACTGAAGTCTGCCTCTCCCATGGTGATTTTTTTGTAGCATTTACATACAATATACTATTAGGTAGCTTTTTTCTAACGTTTAAAATATACATACATGTGTGTGGTTATTTATATACCCAATTATTTAAAAAATAAGGTTAAATTATTATTTCTATTCTTCATGTCATTAAATCCTAAATCCTTTATTATTTTTTATTATAGTGTTTATTTTTATTAGTGTTTACTATAACCCGCCATTAGTAGTAAGTCAAAATGATATATTTTCATGTTTGTTACATCAGCCACTAGAATATTCTTCATAAGTGAACAGTAAAGAATATTTCAACATCTAACAGGAACACTGCAACACCATTAAATCCTTGAAGATATTACTTTATAAACTGACGCAGCCATCAGTAAAGTAGGCTTGAAATGTACGAAATTCTAACGTGGCTTCTGTCAGAATACCTACAGTTGTATGAATGTAGGTCACACGGTATCATATTGACCGGGTAACCCCTCCGTACGTACAAAAATCAATATTGTGTAGTGAGCCAGCGACCTGAATAGGTTTATAATCTAGTTAGGTAACTATCTACTAGGCACAGTGATACAGCAAAGTCTACTAAAGACTCTCATTAATCTTTCTTTCAAATTTTATTAGATGGCTTTTACACATGAATGTACTTTTTTTAGTTTAAAAAGACAACTCCCGCATTAGGAATATATCCTGTGTCGCGGGGGACTTTACAGACAAACATGGAACGGTCACAGAGAACACCCAAACTCAGAACAAAAATTTGTGGATCACACAAAGTGTCATTCTATGTGGGGATCGGACCCACAACACTCAGAGTAGTAGTAAGCGGCGAGGTGACCGCTTAAACCTTACGCTATCCGTGCAGTCAAAAGTTTATTTATAAAAGGATATAGGCACGCTTTACTCACTCGTACCTGGTGCACGCCTGACACCAATGCAACAGGCTGCTAACCTTGAAAGGGTCTCCCGTCGAATCTGATACTATAAATATCTTCACACATCTCATTCTCAGCAGTCTGCGAAACAAATTATCGTGTTCATGACACACTGTTTGTCTTGGTTGGGAAACGAACCTACGACATCCGGCTGAGCAGTCAGGGTCAATACCCACTAGACCCCCCCCTCCCTCCCCCCATTATTCTGGAGGAGGGGCTCAAAAATTGGCAACGCACTTGTGACTCTTGAGTTCCAGGCGTCCATGGGCGGTGGTAGGCACTTACCATCAGGTGACGCGTTGGCTCGTTTTGACTGCCTGCCCCTATACCCCTATACCACAATAACATTCCTAAATTTCTAATTTCATGAGTTTGTTTGCCCTTTCTTCTTATAAGGCTCAACACCTTGGAAACGGGCGGTTGTAAATCGGCACATCATAGATTTTGTATAAGTTTAATTAAATTTATTGGTTACTATATAACATACTATACTATACTATATATAACAAAACAGAGATTGTTGCTATTGTGTGAGTTGATTTACGACTTTACAGTCCGCATAAAGAACGATTTCATATTAAAAAAAAATGATATAAAGATATTTTGAGTTTGAAAGTTTTCATTGATATATCTAACCACTTTTTTTAATGAATATTTGATCTGCCTAAGTAATTAAAAGCTACCGTTGAAAATGTCTGAAATCTTTCAACTCCGAACGAATATGTATATTATTTTTGATGCACTTCACACTTAATTTAAATACCACATTTATATCGCATATTATTCTTAACAGTTATACGATATATCGTTACGGGTTATAAGTTTAATTTTTTATACAAGTATTAATGCTCTTTGATTAGATACCATTTAGTTTCGGTCCAGAGAAATCATATTTGCCATCATTCTTATTACCCAAACTTAGTCTTGACTGGCTATTCAATTTCTTTAATTTCTCTAGTTCTTGAGCTAAAAGGGTAGTTTATGTGTAAAGTTTGTATGAAATAACGACATATTACGTCATAAGTAGCTATTGTCAAACAACTAGTGTTTAGTTTAATAATAATAATAACATATCTCACACACGGCTGTCTGACTCCAAACTAGGCAGAACCTGTACGATGAAAACCAGATTACTGATAAACATACTTACGTATTTATAAAGACGTACATATTACAGATTAATTACACCCAGAGACAGAAAAACATATCGTGCTTATCACACAATTTAAAATAAATTTAAAATATTTGTCTATTTATGTTGTTGAGTGATGACACTTTGTGGAACTTGACACATATGTTGGATTGAGTCACTTGTACTGTTCCACAATATTTATTTTAGTAAACCTAACCGGTTTTGCCGGTATTTTCAAAGGGTATTATGGTCCTCACGGCATTTTCAAAGGTTATGTCCTGTCAACAGTACAAGTGACTTAATTCAATTATTTGTCCTGGGTCAAAATCAAACCCACAATCTCTGGCCTAGCAGTAAGGGTTCAAGTGAGAACCTAACCTAACCTAACCTAACCGGTTTTGCCGGTATTTTCAAAGGGTATTATGGTCCTCACGGCATTTTCAAAGGTTGTGTCCTGTCAACAGTACAAGTGACTTAATTCAATTATTTGTCCTGGGTCAAAATCAAACCCACAATCTCTGGCCTAGCAGTAAGGGTTCAAGTGAGAACGTTGAACGTCATCAACAT